CCACCGCTTTTTTAACTCTTTTATTTACTGCCTTTTTCTTCTTAATGGCAGGTTAGGTTTCGAATTATAACTCGTATGAAATGCTGAGATATTTGCAAAACTCCGGACCACAGGTGTATGCAGTGGGGAACGAACACGCGCTGTTGTCCTTACCGGGGAGCAGCGCACTTCACCACTACACCATCCGGGTCACCACCGCTTTTCATTTCACATTATATTACCTTTATTTGCAAAAAGGATTTTAGGCAGGTCACAATGGAATGTGCAAGCTGACACTATTCTTCTACTTAGCTATGTCGATTTGTTATGCTTTGCTAGTATTAGTATGCAGTAATTTTGTGAACGGTATCAGCTTCTTGGTACCTGAATCGGTACCGATCGGCCATGTGGTTGGCTATGTAGAAGGTCGACCGACGCTCTCCACTCATAGCAAGTACTTCTTCGTCTATCCAGACCCCATATCCGAGCAGGTTAGCCTTTTTCGAATTTTTAGACTCAGGTCACATCTTCATTGAGCATCACTCAGTGACTTCAGCACCGTGCTCTAGACCTTTTGTGGAATTCAATTTGATTTCCCATAAAGGTATTCTGAAATAGCCATGTCATTAAAACGCGTATGTATGAAGATTATTTAATCCTTGAAATATTCCAATATTTGCTGGTTAGCATAAACACGACTTATGAATTGAGAGCTATTCACATTTTAAAACGGCGTGAATTTTACTTAGCACAGAGATCTGCGCAAACTTTGTGATAGGCCACAGCCGGTAAGTAAGACGATAGAAACTTTCGGTTTTAATTTTTGTCCCAAAATATCACCTCGACATCCCAATTATTGCCTACGAGTTAAACTTTTGGATTTTTGTCGCAATCTCAAGCTCGTAAAATTGCACCTTCTGACATTCGGTGTCACGTCCTCATCGTTTCTTTCTTCCTTTGTTCGCCCCATTATTGTAGTCTCTAAGGCTGAGAAACCCGACGACGATCAAGAAAAGAAGGAATTTCATTTTGGTCTCTTACAAGGCTCTTTACGCCTGATTTGCTTAGCGGGGTGCTGGTCACCTAACGGCCTCACAAGTAGGACATAGGTGACCTTGCACGTCGGCTGTCTCGTAACTCGGGCAATTATGAGCGCTCGAGGAACGCCAGCTATGCGGGCCATCCATTCCTCGTCTAGGGGTGACATAAGTGAAGTGAGGTAGACGAAAAAAAACGAAAACATGACGCCTAGCAAGAGTACTGCACTTTTCAAAGGTTATCTATTCTCATTATAACAATTCGCCTCTCCATATTCATGATTGTTGTAGAAGTCTCAGCTCTTATCAAATTGGAGAAACAGTGCCTGGTCGACGGAAAAAAAACTTTGGCCAGAGTATGACTCAAAAAATCGACTAGGAGGTTTGATTAAACTCGAAAGCAGTGCTTGATCGGCCAACCACCTTTTCCTAAAGTATCAATCTGCGAAAGAATCTAGTAAAAGTTTTCTTCTAAATCAAAAACCGTACCTGGTCACAGAATCAACTTTTACCATACTTGAAAGAATCAAGAAGGAGTTTTAAGTTTAGCTTGTAACATAGTGCGAGTATCAAGAGTGAAGGTAGCATCTTTATGTTTTTCTCAACAAAAAACATTCATCATCATAAATACAACTTGATTCCCTGGCAGAATGGCTCGTTGCTGATTTGTCCTAATATCGCTTTCCTCAAACTAAGAGCACTTGTGGCGCAGTGGTCGAATGATCCCTGCAACACACACGTGGAATCGATCCCACGCCCATGGCCCACCAAGCTTTCCATCCCTTCGGGATCGGCAAATTGGTACCAGACTTGTCTGGGAGGATAGCAGCACTGGGTAGATTAATCGGTAGGCCACCGCGAGCCATTGCAAATGCCAAATATGCATTCAATCACCACCAACGATACCTGATGAAGTCGAATGCATGGCGCATCCCTCACGGTTTGATCAACGCCGAGAGCTTTATCCATTATCCTTTATCGCTTTCCTCGCACTTTTTTGCGTGAATTAGTGGTCGAACTTCATAAACGCCTTTTCTTCGATTCCACTCTTTAGTATTTTGCCGAATCATGAGATCGAATCCGAGCCATGTAAACATGTAAAAAAAACTTGTATCGACTTTTATTATATCAAAATAATCATAAACCTCAGAAATCGTTTGGAACTCTTTTATCTGAGCTATCCATTCAACGTTCACACTTCTTTCATAGCTGCAGTAAAGAATCGATTTTTGGAAGAAGATTTTAACCAGCCACAGGATACCTTCGACCGAATGGAGAGCTAAAGATTTATATTTATCGTGGGGAATTCTTAACTAGAGCACTTTAGGTTAAGAATCTCCCTTTTTAAACCAACCCTGGCCAAATTCCACTGAACCAAACAAACCCAAACTGGGTCTCCTTTCGAACTGTTAATGGTTTCTTGTTTCTGTTAACTGGTAATGAAACCTTTTAGTAAGATCGAGCAAATCAAGGCATCTTTCGTTTAAGTTCTACTTCTCAACAACGTAAAAACTAGTTAGTAGTTTTTTTTTTACTACAAAAGCTTATTATTCAATAAGACCTCCAGTCTAAGCATTGCAAGGGGTGATTTCCATGCATTTCCGTTCCATCATGGTCCATGGTGATCCAGGTTTTCACTGAAGATGGAAAAGGACGGCGCCATCCTGTCCAGCTTGCCTACGCCTTGTCATCACTGCCGTCACCGCATACATTAGCGGTTTGTGATGACTCCGAGGAAGACGTTTGACTTATAGGCCAAACGGTCGGTCGCAAATAACAGATGTCATCGAATACATGACACCCAACGTAGTGCAGAATCGCTAATGGCTCTGTTTGACCTGATTCCTCAGCCTATGACTAAGGCTAGGGCTGGTCGAGATGGAGTTTAGGAATTCGGAATTAAGTGAGGTTCCTATACATGAAAGAATACAGCCGTATTAAACAAAATTCATAAATCGTTTAAAAAATACCTATTTGATCGATATGGACATCATAGCTGAAGTACTTTTTCCTTGCATTTTTGGTCCATAGAGATTTAATTCTAAATGGAATTCTGAATGGAGTTCTCTGTAAAGGGTGGTGACAGTAGACGGGGCATAAAACTTTGGTGCGAAATTTCATTCCAAAGGTGACAAGTCGTAATTCCTGTTTAGTTTTTACTCGGTTTCTGAATAAAAACATCGAATTCAATATCCTCTTAGGTGACCATTCAAGAGATGGACTTTTGGTTGTAAATCGCATTTCCATTTTCACGCCAAAGAATGTCAGACTCCTCACCACAATTAGGCAGGAAAACCCGGGCAAAACACTGTTGATAATAACTGTAATTTTTCTTATAGTAATAAATAGAGAGTTGGTATAAACAAATCTCAGCCACTTAACCATTCATACAAACGTCCTCAAACTGGTAGACTATCTGAATTAGCGCTGCATCAGATTGGGGCGGGCGGTGATTGGATTTGCACGAGCTGCGACTAAGTTAAATCATAATGAGTCGATCCCTGCGGACCAGCAAGAAGGTCACTTTAAAAGACGGAACAACCCTCACATCCATCTTTAACTTTGTGAAAAATGACTGTAGCACAATGGTGGAAAACTTCCCTAATCTCAGAGAACTTTAAAAACAATGCAAAACTTCAGAGAGCGTCAGGGTAAGAATAGTTCTGTACTGCGCAAAGATTAGAAGATGAAGCTTACGTGGAAGTTCTCATAAAAAGCTTTATTCTTTTTAAACAAGGAAGTGAGGAAGAAATGATAATTTCTACTACGCCTCATCGCGGTGCTATAGTCCTGCTTGGATGCTCGACTCTTTTGAAGTACACTTGTGTCAGCTCCTGTATATTACTATATTATTCAGCTGACGTGACGTTGATTTGCCAAGATTTCTATCCAGCACTCCAGCGATAACCGCATCAGGGTGTTCATCTATAGTATTAATGACGATTGTGGGGATAACATGTGCACTCCCTAGTACTGATTTGCTCTTAGGTTAGCTTGAAGTTGAAAACTTCAAACTCCTCCCCAGTTTCGTTGTGTGGGAAGAGTTTTTTCATGCAGACTTCAGGTGAACACCAACGAGGACCCCTATCAGGAAAGGGTAATGGTGAATGGTTTGATGCATACCATTCGTTAAATTACATCGTCGGATTTCCTTCCCTGCAATCAAACACACTTCGTTTTCGAGGTTTCTCCTTAGGAGTTTTAACTTTCGTTATGCTTAAGACAAATGTTCATGGGTAAAAAATGCAAAACAACTGTTGAATATTGATCTCAGAGAGCAAATAAAATATGAATATGATATTCCATTCCGGTATATAAAACCTTTGATCGAGTGCTCAGATTCCTCTGAAATGTTCTCTTTTAGCTAATCAGCATCGACGATAAATCTGGTGAGATCACTCTCATTTCACGATTGGATTACGAAAAGCACAAAAAATTCGAAATTCTCGCTGTTCCGATTGAGGCCGGAGAAGGAATCGAGGTGGTGAGAGCTTCTATCACCGACATGCCAACCATGACCGTTTACTGACGAGTGTATCCAACAATAAAGTGGAACTTAGAGTACTCTTGAGAGTTTTTCCACATGGAACTTTCTCTTGTGAAAGAGATTTTCACGTGTAGTGTGGATACTATTAAGGCAGCTGAGAGTATAAAATTGATCATCTGGAAGTTTCGATTGATGATCCGCTGAACCATTTAACCCATCAATTTTATCCTTCCCGTGTTTTTGGCGCTGGGTGACCTCTCTTAGTACAGAAAAAGTTTTCCGATCTATATTTCATAGCTCTGAATGGGCCGTAATATAACATGTGGTTCAGTCGATAACCCAAAAAGAAAACTATTTCTGTGCATAAAAATCGATAAATACTCTTTCCCACAAACATGAACTTAGTTGTTTTAGGTGACTATCGAAGTGGAAGACGTTAATAATCACAGCCCAACGTTTCCGGAAGAGAAGATCAAGGTATTTCTTCGAAAGGCTAAATGAAAACGATCATGTCGTTTCAATTCCAGCTCAACATCTCCGAGTTCGCTCGAATCGGTACCGCCTATCCGCTACCACAAGCTGACGATCGTGACGGGAAGAATTTCACCATTAAACGGTATCGCATCGTTCAGGGCAACGTCAACAATGTTTTCAAGGTTTGTTAGATTTGAAGAAAAATCCTGGCTGTACATAGTTAAAGGCGATTTCATAGTTCATCGTCCTTTCGACGAAAGTTCCTCAGGGTTTATTCTACAAGAACTATGCCGACCCGAAGATTCATCAAGGCAGCTTTGTTGAAAACCTTCTAGAACCCGTTGTGACTCTTAGTGGTTGCAATTTTCTTCCTTTGCAGCAATAAATTTTACGAAAAACAAAGGCTTTAACAAAAAGTGATATAACAGCGCACACTGTCAATATTGTGCTCCGTCTTAGATATTCCGGCGTTAAGGAAGAAGTCTATCTTTAATTTGATAGCAGATAAGGCCGGAAAACTACCACGTACCGATGATGAATTCATGAAGATTCGTGAGGGTTTCATTTGAGGTGGAGATGAGGTATCGGTCATAAAGTGTTCGTTTGTGGTCCACACTTCATTAGACAGGCTTCCTTCTCTTTGTCATAAGACGTTTTCCTTTCTTAAAATAATCGTCTTAGTAAGCATGCGAAACTTAATCGTATAGAAGTAATGAGTCATTACTTCTTTATGGAAAGTACATTTCCATTAAGATCTCGACGCGTACAGTCCATGGCGCTTTGTACGCAGATCTGGTGGTGAACGGACAACTCGACCGCGAATATCGTGATAAGTACGAATTGATCGTCGAGGCTATCGACGGAGGAAAACCGCCCAAGTACGCTTCGATAGAACTTAGCAAACCTGCAGAAGCAAAGGAAACAAATTTTGTATATAGAATTCTCAAGGATTTAAGCTAATGATTTCGCTTGGTTTTTTCCCTCAAAAACAAAACGATAAAATTTTATGCATTTTTCAGCTTAACGATTTAGTATATTAGTTAGTTAGGCTAGTAAAGTTACATTAGCTATTCATCGAGACTCCAAAAAATTCTTATCAGGAATTTATAACCTTCCCAATTTTTTCACTTTTTTGCTCTCTAAATTATTAATTTATTAAAGTATATAGAAAGTCGGACGTGGGAGTTATTAATTTATTATTAATTATTCTTTCTCTCAACGGTTTACCGCCCTTTACCGCCTCGTCTCGGCTGGGAGGTGTTCCTGGGTGTCGGACTGCGATGTACAGCGAGAGATTCATCCCACCAGCAGGCCTCCCAAGCTTAGGAGCCCGGCATTTCCATCAGGAAGTCCAACTATGAATAAACCAATACCATGATTTACCATCGTTCTGGTACCAAACCAGGCGCATGGTGGCAAATCTTCTGATCCACGAGGACGGCGACTGCTGTGTTGGTAATGACCTGGGGCAGACTTTGGCTAGCCTGACGTCGGAACTCTAGGAAACCACAGTATCTAAACCAGCAAGACCCCGAACATCGACAAGATGGTAATAATGCTGTGGCTCGAGCAAGCAGTGAAGATGGGTCATTCAAGTATCCAAGTAAGTTATTTTTCAGGTCATTAACATAGCATTTTAGAAACCTATTGTAAACCTGACAAACTTTAAGTTTGGTTGAAGTGCCTTAAAATGTACTAATTAATTTTTTCACCACTGAACAAGCTGCGTAAAGAAACTAAGAACTTCATTTTCAAATTAAATCATATTTTTTCAGTATTTGCTTCATGAGCAGACATAAGTTCGTTGTTACACTATTAGCTCTTAAAAGATAACCTTCTGGCGATCTCGCTTTCTTCAGAGGCTAGAAAGGTCAAACCGATCCGTAATATACCCAGTCAAACACTTTTATAATCTCAAAAGAAAAATCCAGGGCCTAAATTTTCGTCGCATAATAGACAGCTTTTTAACACTTACTAATTTTCGCTTTCATTTTCTGCCTATTCTTTCCAACCACAAGGATGTTGAGATACGAGGAAACTCGAAACATCAGGAGAGCTTCGAACCCGTGATCACTCTTACCAGGACTCACATGCTATTTACCACACCAACCTTGACCTTTGCATTGCCTTTCTTTCTGCTATCATTCCCGTTAAGGTACGATTGTTGATATCACCGATGGAGTAAAAACATAGCTGCGAAGAACAAGCTGACTAAATGATATCCCTCTCTAGCGTCCATTTTTGGATTTTTGGAGTTTATCCAGAGTGCTTCAAGAGTGTATAGAGCCTTTTACTTTAGAGTCTTCTTGTAATATATCTCTCAGTGGAGTACTTGCTTTAGCTTTAAGTTTACCGATAAGGTGTTCTTTTATACGGACGTAGAGTTGTCTACCCATTTCACCAACACTTTTGCCCCGTATGTAACAACCTTATTTTTGCTCACTAAGAGATCATTGAACTATGGTAAGGTTAAAACAAAGTCGGTCTTGTGATTTGTTACATCTTTCCATTTATAACCTAACAGGTACCGGCAACAGCTAATTTCTTCTATCGCTGTAGCAAACCCTACCATACGTTGTTTAATCTTTGATCTATTTTGCAATCTAATACATAATATTTGTTCTTATAAAATCTATTTTTTTTTCGTGTACCTTTTAATACTTCACTACAAGAACACTGAGGGCGCTTTTTCCTTACTTCACAATTGGGCTTGAGAACGTGATCTTCGTATTTTTTGTAATTATTTTACACTTTTTTAAAAGTTATTTAGTCATCGTTGTTTTAAATTAAAATGTTTAACGTATTTAAGCTTAATAGAGACCTTAGACGATTTTTTTGCTCAGAGTCGGACGCCTTTACGTGCACGTGTTTATACTCGACGCAAACGACAACGCGCCAATTTTCACGCAGCCACGGTACAGTATCTCAATCCCAGCGAATTTAACTGTCGGATCGCAATTTTTCCGTCTGAAAGCCACCGACGGGGACATAGAAGAAAATGGCAGAGTCAGATATCGTTTGCGAAAGGTAGGCAACTCTAAATATTTTCTTTCAAATTGTCTTTCCGAGGGTTGTACAAGGTCAGCTTTCGGATTATCAAGCACAAGTATTCTAAGACTTTGTCTATCCCAAAAATTCCAACGTTCGAGGAAAAAATTTAGTTAGTTCGTGATTTTGACGTTCCTTCTGCGTAAAGTTATTGCATATCTTTAGTGTTTTCTACTGCAACTGCACTTATGTTGTTAATATTCAACTCTGTTGTTCTTAACATAATTGTTTAAGGAGATTTTCCATTATTTTCTCCTCTGCTTTCACCCATTCCGTTTCTTTGTTCTTCATCGTTATTATGCTCAGCACAAACAAGGACGCTATCTAAGTTCAAACCCCTCCAATAATCATGATTATCATGTATTTAAATGGTATGGACGGTGCTGCTTGTTCCCAAAAGTCTCCTTTCCGTCAATGTGTTCAACTAACACTTCCACGATAAAGCAGTGGTATCGATATTTTAACTTATTACTTATTGCCTACTCTTTTTTTAATGGCAGAGTATGTAGCGAAAGAAAACCTCAACGATGCTGAGATATTTGGAAAACTCACGGATAGGCCAAACGAAGGACTTGCATGATTTAGTGGTGAACGCGTCAGCTCCCAGAAAGGGTAATAGCGCGTTTGTTTTCCACTTCAGACAGCTGCGATACAGAGTTTTGAAGATATCTCGGCATCATTGAAATGGTATCGAGAATTCAATCAACCGAATGAAAGATATTCTCTACTGAGAGAGCACCACGAAAGAAAGCGTTTATAGTGAGTGACATCCTAACCGCCTATCGATCATCGTCAAGTGCTGCATACGTTGGATAATTAATCAAAGAATACGACAAACTTATCTTTACACGACATCTACATCCAAGCTTGAGTTGTAAGCACACTGGAGATCATTTATACTACAGAGCTGAGTGGACCACTAAGGGGCAGCCAACAGAAAGCGCAAGAAGAATGAATAAAATTTCAGTTCACAGGATTTTTTGCCGGCAGAAATTTGGCAAACATTAGCACTGTTTACTCATTTGTTTGTTTACGATGAAGTTTAAATAACTATTGAAATCCTTACGTATAAAATTTTGAGTGTTGAGTTTGTCCTTACATTGAAAAGACTCGGCTGTGCAACGCAGAGCGATTCATGAGCCAACTGGGTTTATCCTATGCCATCGTTATTTTTGAATTATTCACCAATTTATTCAAGCGTTTATTTACTTCCCCCATCTCCCTTAGCAAGAAAAGCAAAGTTTTCTTATTACTAACATGGATCAGAATGGAGGCAGAGTAAAACCAAATCTCAAGACTATTTTAAGAATCTTTATAAATTGTAGGGCGCGTGTGGCGCAGTGGTTGGGGACGCCCTGCAATAAACACGTGGAATCGATCCCCACGCCCATGGCCCACAGAGCCTACCATCTATCCGAGGTCGATAAATTGGCATCAGACCTATCTGGGAGCACAGAGGCACTGACTCGGTATATCGCTAGGCCACCGCGAGCCATTGTAAAGGCCAGATATGCATTCAATCACCTCCAGGCGATCCTTAACGAAGTCAAATGCATGGCGAATCCCTCAGGGATTAGTTAACGCTGAGAGCTTTTTTAATAAATTATTGTTTGCAAACTTTATTCAATTTCGCTAAAGCATTCCTTTTGTTTCGATCCAAACCTTTATAGAAAAGGCTTTATATTAGGCCTGTTTGGAGATTATTGTTATATACGGATGAAATGAATGATGCTCGATTCCTTTGCAGAGGGACGATCCACGGAAAACCGGAAGCGTTGGTGTACATTTATTAGCTGTTGTACTAGAAAAGTTTTCCCCCACTATTAATGAATTCGATAGTGTCAGCTCGGTTCATCTACTTGCTTACTGAGCACTTTTTGCACAACGTTATTTATTTACTAGCAAATCATTAACTGTGAGAAATTTGATGCCAAACAGTAGCAATATCATCTTTGAGAACTTACTTCCAGACGAGGTTCGAGCATATGGCGCCGTTGTTTTCACTCTCACCGAACGGAGTTCTGTCGTCGGCAGCACGTCTTCTTCCAGGCACAGTTCACGACTTGATCGTCGACGCCTACGACGGCGGCGTGCCGTCTCTGGAAACAACCGCAATTGTCACCGTCACAGTACTAGGTAAAAATAGTAGTAACCTAGTTGTTGTTCAGTAACTTGAATCGAATTCGTGCATGATTGTGCCTAGCAACAACGTCTGAGTGAATAATACACTAAATGCATTGTTAAAGGGACTTCTCTTACGGCTCCGGCTGTTGACATCATCTGGTTAACTGACAGCGGCACAGCGCATTTCCTTGAAAATATCACACTGGGAACCATTGTGGCACGGCTGAGCTTGAACGAGGAACAGAAGGACTGGTAATACCCACCTAGTTCATGGATTTGTATTTTGGCTAAGCTTTTTATGGAACATTCTGAGATTTCTCCTACTTGTACTGAACTATTTTTTAGTGAGTTTCAATTTTTGTTGTCAGTTTTCTCTTCTTAAGTGCGAATTTGCCCCAAAGCGGCTGAAGTAAGAATCGTTCCCCTTCTAACCAGTGGCAAGCGAAGTAATTGTAAACAATATTCACCCGATGGATGCTCTTATTTTGCATACTGTTTATTTACTCACTTGATATTTTATTCCCTGGCAGAACCTCCCGACGGTTTACTAGCTCATCGTAGTTGGAAAGTGATCCTGGATGTCGGGCTGAGATTTATGGCGGCAGTATTCATCCCCCTAGCAGGATCTCCTAAGCTGAGAGGGATCCACCACAGTCCTGGTATCAAAGTTGCATGATAGCAAATCTTCCTCTGATTCACAAAAGCTGCGACTGCTTGTGATGGTGGAGTCTTGGACCAGACGTTGGCCAGGCTGACCTCGGAGTTCCAGGAACCACAATGGCTTAATCAGCAAATTTCCGAAAAGTGGAGATTATGCTGGGACCCGCACAACTAGTGTGAATGGGCCATTCAAGTATGAAGTAGGTATCAATATTTTATTCAGTCATTAAATGCATTGACTGCGTAGTCTCTGTCTTGTTTTTACTTCCTAGTGATTTGGATTTGGCTCAGTTATAATTCAACAATCAGCGAACACTAACTCTCATAAGTGATGAACTTTGACAACAACTGATTTCCAATCTCGGAGAATTTAAAATATAACAGAACACTTCACTTGGTTCTTAAATAATAACGACAATAAAAGAGTGGTAATGAATTCTGGCTGGTTACAGTGTCGTCACTATGTCTGGTTGTCCATCGTTGTGCCTTCGTCAGAGCCAATCTTCATCAGTGTACCTTCTTTTGGTTTGTGGCACCTTCGACCGCGAATCCTCATCAGAATATCACCTCAAATTCAGTCTGAAGAGGGGTACTGAACTAGTCCTGGATCATCCTGTAATTCTTAGCATTGGTTGGTTTCCCTATGGCTCATTCTTCTTTCTATATCATATTACAAAAGCCAAGAACAACGCGTTTTATTTCATTTGAACATTATTTAATAGGGTGAGAAGTCCATGTATTATTATTACATGCTGTATTAAGACAATAAGAAAACAAGGAATACGACCAACATACGGCGCATCAGAATAATTCCAGCTTTTACGGTGTTACTTGACCACACGTTTATCCCTTTTTTATATTACGAAATCTTTTTTCACCAGTCAGAAGGAAGAGCGCATAACCAGGATCTTATTAAAATAGCTTTGTGGTTCTTATTAAGCTTTTTTTGTCTGCTTCTTTAGAAAACCGTTAATACAGGATACTGCTACCGAAATTCTTAGGCTTGATGCGCTCGTCTGACCTTCCGCATAAACCTCTGTTTCTGTTGAAAGCTAGAAAAGTGGGTAAAAATATCCAAAAAAATTTCCATGCGCTTTCCTATTTCAATGTCAATAAGAATCGCTGTGTTATAACAACTTTACTGTATAGGTGACATCAACGACAACGCTCCAGTCTGGCCACAGGCTTACGCTCATATCACCCTGAATCGCTCAACATCGGCAGTCGACCAGACTACCGTACTTGTGGCGACCGATGCTGATCAAGGTCTGAGCGGTCGAGTACAATACAGTGTACTCGACTCGGATATCATCGCCATCGATCCGAACACTGGCCGGCTTAATCTACTCAAGGAAGTGGGTTTTTCTCGGGATCATTGCATGATTTCACTCCTGCCGGTAATCATTCCGAATTTTAGCTCGACTGCTCTCTAGGTGCGGAACTTCGCTTTAGAGTTCGTGCAGCTGATGGCGGCTCGCCAAGTTTGTCTTCAGGTCAGTGATTTTCGGGCATTGTCAGAATTTTTCTAACTTATAAAAACTGGTTATCATCATGTCTTTGAATAGATCCTTGTGTGTGCATGTGGATAAATAAGTAAATAAGTACAACCACAATGATTCTAAGATATCGTCACATTTTATTTACTGCCCACTCTTTTTTAATGGCAGGGTATTATGTGAAATGCAACCATAATGATGCTGAGATATTTGCAAAACTCCGGACCGCACATAGGGATTGAATACACTGAAAAGTTGTAGTAGACAGTAAAGGAAAAGTTAATATTGTAAATAGGTAAGTTTTGCTTTACTTCAAACCACGCCGTTGTTCCTTAAAAAAGTTAGTAATTTTCTAAGAGTTCAACCAAAGCGGCTGGTCATATTTAAAAAAATTACAACGAATAAAGAACAAAGAGTTTTGCTCCGAACAACCCTTGAGGATCCGAGACGTATTCGAAATCATCAAACATCGTTGCAGTGATTGAATGCATGTCTTTCCTGAATAATGATGACTTGTCGTGGCCTGCTGGTGTATTCAGCCTGTTGTTATTTTTCCAGACATGAATGCTACCAATTTGGCAATCCTAGAGTTGCGAAAAGCTCAGTGGTATGGGTGGATCGGACCTGAAATCGGTCAGGTGTGCATTGTAGGACTCCTCCAACAGCTGCGCTACACGCGTCTCTTAGAAGCACATTATAAACAATGTAAAAACTGAAAGCATAAAATATCCATATGGTAAAGAACTCTATACGGGACAGTCAGTCGTTGTGAGAGCCGATCAATTCTCCTGAGATAGGCATCATTTCTGTGCCTTGCAAACAACGTACGCCTACAGGCGAAATACGAGTAGAGTCCTCGGCGTTGTTATCGTAGTGAAAAAGGGTTTGCTGGAAGGAGAGATCTGTGCGTGTTAGGTGAAATATGTGGTCAATTAGTGTGAATAAATGCGTGTCTTCTTTGTACCGCGCAGTAAGCGGTCAGAAGAGGCTTACACAGTTAGAGATGGTGAACGACGTTAGGTTACTTGTAAAAATACTTAGAAAGCACTTTTTTAGCCCATTGCTAATCTATGAAAGTTCTGAATTCAAAAAGTGCTATTTATAAAAGAAAAAGGTCTTGTATACACGTGCCAGTGGGTTAACTCTTTCTGACGTAGGGTACGATTTATTTCAATTATATTATTCGCTGGAAAAAGTTTAGTTCTCTAAAGAAATCCTACTGTCTTTCAACATTTATTTTGCCCTTTTTCACGATTTAGTGAATGCTCCTATAAATGGTTTACGGGCAAACGATAAATTTCTTATTTCTCCAATGGTTAGCTTTAAAGTGGATAGCAACACCTGAGAAAAATTGATTTGAAAGTGCGATTAGGTTCTATTTTTAGCCCTGTTTTTAGTTTTACTCGTGGGAGAATAAAACGGATTAAGTAGCAAGGAAATGGGTATTTGAGAAAAAAAAACTATCCTTAACGATAAGAAAATTAGAGGAACCATCGCACACATGGCCTAAGGAGAGTGCAGAGACAGTGGCTATGGAAATCTTCAGATATCTCCAGTAAATAACCGTTGTTCAGATCTTCTAGTAACAGCCGATCTTGTGGACAATTATGGTAGAGCACCGCAATTCGAGAAATCGCTCTACGAGTTGAAAATCTCTGAAGACAGTGACGTAGGTACTTGTCTGCTTAAGGTTAGTCTCACATGCTTATCATTTAGCACGCATTGCTAATGAGTTAACTGAATGAAATCAAGCGTCGTTCAGATGAGAGAACGGGAGAAATTGGAAACAAAGATTGGTACAAAACCATAGAATTATAAAGTTATAACAATAAGATCAAGGGTAAAATTATTTTAGGCGTAGGACTTGGGCACATGATTATCATACTATACAAGATCCTTTTCAAATTCCTATCTTACTTTCATCATGGTTCCAATGTCATTAGATTATTCCCTATAGAAATTGGACTATTTCAGTGTTACACGAGATTTCGATGAAGGTTTTCACTCAATGTAGGAGAATCCTCCAACTCTTGAATATTGAACAGAGTGAAGGTTCAGGTGTACCTATTAGAAGTTGTGTATGGCAAGCAATAGAAGGGTTATCTGAGTGTCTGTAAACATTCTTGCTTCCAAAAAGTGAGATTCATAAACGACAATACCGAAATCTGTATGGGATTCACTGAGAAGTTTTTGAGCTTTTCAGCGAGGGCAGATATTTGTATTTAGTATTTGTCACAAACTATTCAAGTCCGATCCACGAATGATCGGTTTCTGTTTACATATCGGCGTACCGTATGATCGGCAGCTGCCAGTTCACAGACGTCAGATGCGGGCACCATCCTACCATGAGATGTTTGCCTTCTCTTGGCCTGGATTGAGGTCGATTCTGTCCAGAGAGAGAAGGGATCACGTCGTCTATTCATGGAGGTTTATGAACTAATAAAAAAAGCAGTTTGTGCATGGGTGCAGTACAGTAGAAACCCTAACTCTAATAATTTAACATTAGCAAACGCTGAGAAGCCCGTAGGAGCAAATTGGGACATAGTAAAACTCCGTCCATTTTGCCTTGATCCATAAAGTAGTCAGTGATTGAAAACCACACTAAGCACTCTAGCTCAATCTTTGTTAAACCTACAACTCCGTCCAATAAAAATTGCATTGCTCTGAATGGTATAAAAATCTCATACGCTTATAGAAGTTCTTCTTTCTGTTCACTACTGATTATAACAGTTTTTTACAATTCTCTCAGGTGTCTACGGTGTTTTGATTTCCTTTAACTATGAACAAGCAAACAAAGATTTCAAGGTAAAGATCAATTTCAGCAAAATCCTTCCCATTCGTGAATTTCACTTCTATTTCGTCCTTTTCTTAACTGACTGTGGTCGTCTCTTGGCTGTTGAAATTTGTGATTTTTGAGCAGCGTTGTCTCGACTTTGTGGTCGAGATCGTGTTGTTCCCGTTGCTGGCCTTGCAGCCGCCTCATCGAGCAGCTCAAGCATATCTGCTCCTTTTCCTTTCTTTTCCTTTTTCTCTGACGGTGACTTCAACTTCATCTGAAAATAAGCTTCATTTAGTAGCTGACCACCTTGGCTGTCATCAACCCCAGAAACGTACTTGTTTTTTTCCTACTACTATTATGGTTCTAAGAGATCACTACGAAACCATTTTTTCAAACATTACTGTTCCACAACGTTGCTGAGATATTTGCAAAACTCTGGACCGCA